ATAAAAAATAAAACTAATTACACAGTTTAGACGAAATCCACGAGACGAATCTTTTAAACCTAAGCCTTGTTTAGATGTCATCCAAATTCCAAGTTTTTTCACTCTCTCTCCATCACATCAATTTTTAGCCGTTTGCATGGAGTATTAAATGTAGGTAAAAAAAATAACTAATTACACAGTTTAGTTGGAAATCACGAGATGAATCTTTTGAGCCTAGTTGGTCCACGATTGGATAATATTTGCCAAATAAGACGAAAGTGGTACTATTCATCGGATTGAAAAATTTGCAAAGTAAACAAGGCCCTAATTAGACTATGATTTGACACTAATTACCAAATAACAGCGAAAACTGCTACAGTATCATTTTGCCAAAAATTTCGATATCTAAACATGCCCCAATGCAAACTGGTTGGCCGTTGCTGACGAACCTGAATTGACATTTGATTTTTCATGTCACTAACTCTCACTGCTTGATTTGACATCCTTTTTGTTAGCTAGGCTTTACACGGACACAGGACCAATAGAAAAAGCACACGTCGCCTGTATGATAACCAATCCGAATCACAGTGCTAATGATGGCCAAAAACAAACGAATGGTAAATCCAAGCAGCGGCAACAGCTCCAATGGCTTCGCAGCTATCCTCCATCGCTGCATCTTCAGGCATGTGCTTGCTTTCAGTTCATGTAGGGATGAGAGGGAGGGGGGCGAGGCTTAGGCAAGCGGCGGCACCGTGGTCACCACGGCGCGGCGAGCGAGAGAGGGCGCGACGGCTTCGGGCGAAGCCTAGCAACCAAAACGTTGCTCTGCTTGATTTCATTCCATCACTGTAGCAGAATATTTATCCTTCCTAAACAGCCTCTATCTGATCCTGGATACCAGGACTAAACACTAGAAATAGCAAATGAAAGACTAATCTGGGCTATTAGCCCCCTATTGACCAGCGCCCTCCTAGCCACCGGTGGACTGGCGCTTGGAGTAGTGTATACCGGTCATAACATCTCTCTTATTGAGAGAGGAAGAGATAGATAAGGAGGAAAGGGGCAATGGCATGTGGGACTACATCCACTTGTCATCCACGTCGGCAAAACCACTCGTAAAAGAATCTGGATGTCCCAATACAAACGGTTTGAATAGTTGGTTGCCAACAATTCTTGGATCTTGAGTTTTATGGCCAAAACCAAACTCAGATGATAGTTGAATGATCCAAAATGGATTTGTATCTTTTTTCTACCATAATATTTACATACCTAGCTATCGAAGAAAAAAAAAACTCTACCATGAGTTCAATGACCTTCTTAATTAAGACCCATAACAACCTTCATCGTGGATGATAACACTAACAAAACATAGGTCAAAGGACTTATGTTATATTTAAGGTGCTTTGAAGAGGTTTAAGAGGTAACCTCGCCTTCCTTTAGAACGAGGCCAAGGAGGGATGAAGGGTAGCTGCCCTGTTCCATCAAGTTTGCCCCCTTTTACTAATAATATTGTATTATTGTCTAATGTTTTATTATTTTGCTCTCTATTATTAATAAACTACGCAGGCCCTCACACCAACCAGACTGGTCTTGGCGGTCATCGAGGAGGCAAGCGCCTGGCTGGAGGCCGGTTCTGGGGCTACGTAGAAGTTCATGGCGTTTGCAGATTAGTGCCGTTCAGCCTTGTTTTCTTTCTGTCGCGCATCTGTTTCCATATGTAATAGCCTAAGTGATCTCGGGTTCGGATTAGCGCATTGGCATCTCGCCAAATTGCGTTAATCGTTTTGTAAAAAACTATATTTTCTCTTAATAAAATACGTGCTAAGCGTGTTCTCGAAAAAAAATTATTAATAAACTAGCCAAGAGATTCATGCAAGTTGCGCAGGTAACTAGTTTTTTTTCTTTTCATTACATAATATTTTATTTCTCTTAAATATTTTTTTCTAAATAATTTTTATTTTTAAATTGTATTAGTCATCTCTTTATTCATCTAACTAGGTAGCGTGTCCGTGCGTTGCTACGAGATAAGTAACATTTTATACTAAAAACACATGGATCGCATAATAAGATAACAATACTGTAAAAATTAAATACCAACATTAAAGTGACATTTCATTCAAAAAGCAAAGTTTGTGAAATTAACACAGTCACGGAGAGCGCGGCGTCGCAGGCTTACAAACTCTACTTTATAGACCTTTCCGTGATGCGCCTAAGATAATGTTTTATATCGGCTGGAAGAAATCTTCGATATCCATTTATTTCGTGCGCCAATAAATCCACGAATAAGTTCCGCCGCATTTCCATACCATCCTATACACAGGCTCGAGTATATATGTCAATATTAGTGCCTGTCGCATGGGTAATACTGCGTCTCTTAAAAAATGTTCCACAAAAACTTAAAACAAAGTGTTATACTCGCCGTATAAATATGTGTGGCTTTTGATTTATTCCACGTAGACATATATTTTAGAATAAGATATCCACTTAAACGTTTGTGGTAAGATTCACGATCAGCAATATATAGAAATAGTTAAATCATAGGTATTATTATTGCAAGGTACAGTGACTCTGAGTTAGTTACACATCTATGTCATCTGCAATGTTTTCTTCTCATCTGAATTTTCATTTGAAGACATCCTCTTTCCATCTATGAATATGTACATTCACTATGGTCGTGTACTGCAAGGTAAATCCAAGAGTGTACCTGGCATACATCAGCGTTGGTGTGTCTTTACACCACTCTTCAATAGGTCTAGGGTCAATCATGATAACCATCTTCTCCTTCTGATCGAAAACATAAAGCATATATTTTCGAACATGTAGCTATGGCAAAAAAACTGCAAACATGGTAGCTTTTAGAATAGTATATAGGAAACAATTAATAAAAGCAGGAGTAAGCTCACGTTTTGTCATTCAGATTCCTGATGGAGAAGGGTTAGAGGGTGGGTTTATACAGTAATAAACTTTAAGTAGGACGTTCCGCAAGTAGTCAGATTTACATATTTTCTGTTTTTTAATATTAGGTGATCATAAATTTTTCAGCAAAACTGACAATTAGAAAGACTGGTTTGACAAAACAACAAAGCATGCCCACAGGCTTAACGTTCTTGTAACCCGTAGCTAGGCATGGAAAATTGATTGTCAAGAAACTATAAATATCTTCATGACAGTCAACTTGAACAAATGCTAACCTTAGCAGATTTAACTAAGGAGCCAGTAATAAAATAAATTTTGACAATGATGAAATGATATTCTGATGTCCAGATTATTTATCAAACTCTTTCAGCAATTGTCCAATCTACATACAACTCAAAGAGCATCCCATGAGTGATGTACAAAAACAGTCCATATTATGGAGAAACAATTAGCATTTTTACAGTGTAAAAATGAGAGAGAGAGAGCAGATGGATATATTATATAAAAGCATAGTAGGTTTGATTTTAAATCCCACACCGACTTTCAGTTTTCTCATTCCCCCCTTGAGTATATATTCCATGTTAAAATTTAGAGGGTAACTGTGCAATCAGATGGAACATGCAGCATGAGACTGATTAATCTCCGAAGAGCCTTTATGGTACTACTTGCTAAAAACCACATGTGCTAAAAATTCTCGATGTAGGTCCTTCTCCTTCTCGACGCAGGTCCATCTACGAGGACACAGCCACCAAGGTTTGCTAGCATGGAGACACATTTTGTCGAACATGTTGCCCGCGTTACATTGCCCACTTAGGTGTCCGCTTTCGCACAGAAGGGAGAGCAGGGAAGGGGTGGGCATACCCTGGTTGACCACCTGCGCCGCCGGGATGCTGCGCACGGACGCGTGCGCTGCCTCCAGCATCGGGACGTCGTGCCGCCTCACGGTGGTCGGCTTTGGTGGCGCCGACGAGCTGGAAGGCGAGCTTGGTGTCCTGGCCGAGGATATGGTGGATGCTGTCGAGGAGCGACGCCTGGAAGTGGCCCAAGCTGAGCGCGTCCTTCTTCACCAGCACCACGGTGCCCCTGATCCGGCCCTCTAGCACCGTGGACGCCGCGCCGCCTCACGGTGGTCTAAGGTGTGCAGCTCGGCCAAGCGGGGAGTCATGGAGGGGAGGGGAGCGATGCCGCAATCGCAAGGGGAGCGACGAGTAGGGAGGAGACCGAGGCAGCCACGGATGGCGATCGCAGGATCAACGTAGGAAAGATGCCGCGATTTCCTACTGGGCGAGGCAGGCAGGATGCGGCGGCAATCTTTCCTAACAGACAATCGATTGCGGGATCTTCACGGTCCCACCTAGCGGCGCAGGAAGTCGCGTGGGGGTACCGTTCGCATGAGGCGGCAGACGGACGAACCAATTTTTATCGCACCAAAACGTGTCCATCTTTTAGTCTTTTTATTAGTTGCGGGAGATTACATTCATTGGTACCATCAACGTCGTGGGCTCGTGAGTGGCGCCCCGGAACCAAGGAAGCAACGAGCACCGACGGCCGGCCGTCTTCGCTTCGCTCTGCCGCTAGCTCGCTTCGCCACGGGAAGCCTTTGTCCCGATCCGTGTTCTGTTCATTGTTGCACGTCTCTGTCCTTAAGATAACACCACCTGTTTTTTTTCCCCGTGTATATCGTCGTGCTTGCGGCTTTGGTGTTGTCGGCGCTCAGTCTCGTGGTTCCAGTGCTTATAACAAACCATGCAGATGCAGTGACTGTAGTCATATCCATCCATCGAAAGATACCATTGCCAAGATTTCAAAATCGATCTATTTGTTTGATGACTTGCTGGCGGGAACACGCCGATCTGCCGCCCCGTAGGATCCCGTGGATTGTTTGCTCAGATCTCACCGCGTCGGACCAATCCAAAGCCCAGCCCAACCAACATCAGACACACACAGTACTACTACTAGTATAAAGCAGCTGCAGACAAGGTGCGGTAGTAGCCGAAGATTCGAAGAAGCTGGGCCAGCCACCCGTTCGCGCGCTATCTCCCGGCCCCGGCCCTCCCCCGCGGCTACCGATCCCGCCGGACCTTCTTCCCTTCCAACTTCCCACCATGCCGCACCACGGCAGCCACCGCCCGGGCGCGCCGGTCCAGGACGGCCCCGTGTTCCCGCGCGCCACGTCCACGGTGGTGCCGGACCCGTCCTGCTTCTTCGCGCCGGCGCTCCTGGCCGCGCCGCTGCCCACCAACTCCTTCTTCCAGAACTTCGTGCTCAAGGACGGGGACATGCCGGAGTACATCCACCCGTACTCCATCCGATCCCCCGGAGGCGGCGCGCTCGACGTCTGCTACCCGTCGCGGACCCACTCGACGTCGTCCGTCACCCAGACGTTCGTCGCCGACCTCACCGTCTCCGACTCCGCAGCCGCTGGGAGCGCACAGCGCCACGTCGTGTCGGCCTTCGATGACCTCTCCGTCACGCTCAACGTGTCCCCGTCCCTCCGCGCGCACCTTGTCCGCGGCTGCCCCTACGTCACCGTCACCACCACCGCCACCGGCCCGATCGACATCTCCGTCGCGTCCGTCCACGCCTTCGTCGAGGTCGTGGGGGCGACTATGACAGATTTTTAGTCTATATTTAATACCAAGTGGCGCCTCCGGATGGACAGCGGCCAGACCTTCCTGCTCTACGCCTCGGCTCCGATCCACCTCACGCAGGCCGCCCCCACGCAGCTCACGGCGGCCGCCTTCACCGGCTCCATCCGGGTCGCCTACCTCCCGGACGCGTCCATGGAGCCGGTCCTCGACCGCTACAGCCGCTGCTTCCCGACCGTGGGGCACGCCACGCTGAACCCGAACGACCGGCCCTTCAGCGTCGACTACGCCTGGCGCAAGGAGGGGCACGGGGAGCTGCTGATGCTCGCGCACCCGCTCCACCTCCGCCTACTCGCACTCGCCGCCGACGCCGACGACGACGAGAACCGCGCCGTGCGGGTGCTCGACGGCTTCCGGTACCGGCGGTGCTCGACGACCTGGTCGGCGTCGTCGGGGAACTCCTGGGCGCTGCGCGCCGACCCGGTGCCCCCGACGTGGCACTCCACCAGGGGCGTCCGCGCGGACGGCGTGGCCGAGGTGGTGGCCGCGCTCGCGCCCGCCGCGGTCACCACCACCTCGTCCTACTTCTACGGGAAGGCGGTCGCGCGCGCGGGCGCGGCTGGCGGTGATCACGGAGGAGGTCGGATGCGCCGACGTCGTACCGGCGGTGCGGGAGTTCCTGGCGGCCACCGTCACGCCGTGGCTGGACGGCAGCTTCCAGGGGAACGGCTTCCTGTACGACGCCACGTGGGGCGGGCTGGTGACGCTGCAGGGGCTCACCGACTCCGGCGCCGACTTCGGGTTCGGCATCTACAACGACCACCACTACCACCTGGGCTACTTCCTGTACGCCATCGCGGTGCTGGCGAGGCTGGACCCGACCTGGGGCCACCAGTACGCGCCGCAGGCCTACGCCATGGTGGCCGACTTCATGACGGTGTCGCCGCCGTCGCGCGACAACGGCAGCTTCTTCACGCGGCTGCGGATGTTCGACCTCTGGACGCTGCACTCGTGGGCGGGGGACTGAAGGCGATCCCCGACGGGCTTAACCAGGAGAGCACCAGCGAGGCCGTGAACGCCTACTACTCGGCGGCGCTGGTGGGGCTCAGCTACGGGGACGCGCGGCTCGCCTCCCTGGGCGCGACGCTGGCGGCGCTGGAGATGCTGGCGGCGCAGACGTGGTGGCACGTCCGGGACGGGAGGGCATGTACGAGGACTTCGGCGGGAGCAACCGCGTCGTCGGGGTGCTGTGGGCGAACAAGCGCGACAGCGTGCTGTGGTTCGCCCCGGCGGAGTGGAGGGAGTGCCGGCTCGGGATCCAGTTGCTGCCCCTGCTGCCCATCAGCGAGGCGCTGTTCCCGGACGTGGCGTTCGTCAGGGAACTGGTGGCGTGGACGCTCCCGGCGCTGGCGAGGGACGGCGTCGGCGACTGGTGGAAGGGCTTCGTGTACGCGCTGGAGGGGATCTACGACACGGAGGCGGAACTGGCCAAGATCCGCGCGCTCACCACGCATGATAATGGCAACTCGCTGACCAACCAACTGTGGTGGCTGCACAGCCGCGGGCCCGCCACAGCGTCGTCGGGGACGGCCGGGACGCCGGGTTCGGCCGCTGCTGCTGCTACCACCAGTACTGCCACTGACAGTGTGGTGGCCAGCACAAGTGACCAAACGTTCATGTCAGCTTGTGGAGCAGAGCAGGCGATCGGCTTCCAATGAAGAGAGTGTGGAGTTCATGAGTTGAAAAGTTTACGAGAAAATCCTTATATGCTATCGAAATGTACAGATATTTCTTACAATGTCATATGCCATCAAATTATATAGACATTCCTTACGTGTCATTCAAAAAATATAGATTCCCTTTATTGTCATTCTTTTGGGATCAAGAGGGAGCTTTAGTAACTAGACAATGCAGCAAAATTACAATCCATTTGGATTAGGCCGTCATCATGCTAAAAAAAGAAATTAGGCTGTCAATGCACACCCAACCTAACCAAGTCGATGTACTTGTATTTCGTCAAGTTAACAAAGCTAATCCATGTGCAACGTTGCTGCGCTCCCTCTTAACCTAGGCTATCTTTCGCGACTGCAAGATGCTATTGAGGCACCGACAATGACAACGATGTTTTTTCTTTGGCTCGCAAACAGAATGAACCAGACTTCTAGCTCATCAGGATAACAAGCCAAGCCGCACATAAACTGTGGCACGGAAACATTCAGCAAGGAACCAAACATGCCCAGAAATAACCTTCCCTGAGTTAAGGTATCTAATTATGTATTCAAAGTTCTTTATATTATATAATTAATTATCATATACTAGTCAATAACAATACTACAGAAAAAATTTAGTAGACAAGCCAACTAAGTAACAGATGCAGGCATTTTATAGTACTGCCTTTGTAATGGTAAGTACGGCTCCAGGCAAAACCTCATCTCTATCGAGCGCTTAACAGAAGTGACTTCTTAAGATGTTTGCCTCAAAAAGACTATTAACATATTTAACATATTTGAGATTCAAATTTTTGAATTTTCAAACTACGTCGTATGGAGACATCCTAAATCAAAATTGTAGAGCACGACAAGGTCTAAGACTTTATAGTTAAAATGTTTTGATTTAGAATCATTTATTGGCTCAATACATTCAATACAAGATTGTGAAATGTTCACAAAAATAGAGTTCTCTCTATATTCGCAATTAAGTATGTAGTGTTGTGGTATAGAGGTGCTTTATGTGTTAAAGGTCATGATTTGAAATCTTTTCACGAAACATGTTTCTTGTTTTTTTTAGAAAACGCAGGCGGCCGGCGTCGTGGTTATTACCGGTTAGGCTGCATACAGGACAGGGGCCGTAGGGCTGTATATGCTTTGCATCCGTCTTATTAAAAATTAATAAGTAAATTTGTGAGGCAAACAGTAGCACATAAGACTAGTTGCTTGGTTGCTTAACAGGGAATAGGCTTGTTTTGTGCCCTGAGGTCGAGGATCCTCAAAAAAATTATAGATCTCGAAAAGTTATGCAACTTCGTAGTTAACAACTTTTTAATTAGAAATTATTTATCCAACAAAAATTATGACCGAATTTCCTCATATTTGAAATTCAAAATTTTCAAATGATCTCGGATGGACAAATGACCTAAACCAAAGTTATAGATCTCGAAAAGTTATAAATCTTTGTAGTTGACAATTTTTTCATTTAAATTCGTTTAGGGTCTCAAATACTCATTTTAAAATTAGATGGAGATAGAATGAGAATGACGAATATCTGATTTGGCCATAGGTGTCTTATAGGTGGAGCAGTTAGAGGATGGATGTGTGAAGCCTGAGGTCATGGGTTCGAGTGCCGGTGGCCGCGAAGCGTGCATTTGGCTACTCTGTGGGTCTCTCCTAGCACTACTACAGATTCGAACATCGCTGTCGGCCTCATCACTGCCGGATTTATGAGAACCGGCAATGATATACCTTCACTGTCGGTTCTGAGCTTGAAATTGAGCAAATGATTGGGGCTGGAATAAAACCGACAGTGAAGAACCACATCACTGCCGGTTTGTGGCTTGCACCGGCAGTGAGTTGGCGGCCACTTATCACTGCCGGTTCTAGCCAAGAACCGACAGTGATTTGGTGCTATCATTGTCGGTTCTAGCCAAAAACCGACGGTGATAAACTGACATTACAAAAAGCTGGCGACGTCCTCTCCTTCCTCCTCTCTTCCATCCCGAGCACAGAGGCGCGTGTTTGGGCCGCTCCCTCTATTGTTGCGGCCGCTCTTCACCGTGAAGCTAGCTCTTGGATTTAGAAGAATGGCTTGATTTTTTTTGTTTTAAGGTTAGTAACAAGCATCCACTTCTTTGATTTTGTTGTTTAATTAGCGTTGTTTTGATGGCTATATTGCTTGATTCTCATTCTAGTTCTTTCTTCATTGTAGAGAGCACTTTTTCAATTGGACTTTGTGCAAGGCTTCCAAGCAAATTATGGTGAATCCATCATCCAAAAGGTTAGTGTCTATGAACATATTTAAATTCCTAGCTAATTATTCCATGACGGTCAAGATCGTCATTGTTAGTATGTGATGCTATAATTACTTCTTAGGAGTAGAGTAGATTCTTTTATAATTTTGATGAGCAAATTAATCCATGTGTCACCTAACAACGCATTGTTTGGAGCTACATTGTTGTTCATGATTATGTCTCCAATTTTAGTCTTTTTTCAAATTAGTGTCTTCATTTTTATGTGGCATGGAGTAGAATAATTGTTCTTCATTATTGTGCAATAATTGTTTTTTATGGGGCTACGATTTCTAATTTATGTGGGCATTGTTTGGAGCTACATTATTGTTCATGATCATGTCTCCAAATTTAGTCTTTTTTTAAAATTAATGTCTCTATTTTTATGTGGCATGGAGTAGAATAATTGTTCTTCATTATTGTGCAATAATTATTTTTTTATGGGGATACGATTTTGAATTTATATGGCCGGGGCTACTGTCGACACAGAATTTTCATCCCGTTCCGAGGACACACGCAGCAAGCCGGAAGGGTCCGCTCGATGGAGCAGATCTGTCTAGCTTCAGCGCAGGGATGGTCGATCCTGCGCAATTCTTCCGAGACGTGCCAGTCAATTTGACCCTATAATTGACAATGAGAGAAAGTATATCAGTAATTAAGGGCCGAACTTACCGGTGTTGCCAGATAGTCTCAAATGTGTGGCTATGAGAGCCGATATGAAAGGAGATCAACTAAATAGTCGATTCCAGCATATTCATGAAAATAAATCGGTTAAAGCTCGTTAGGTTGTATAAGAAGAATCGGTTATCATTCAGGGTAAACGTCATTTAAATAAATATTAATCAATGGCAATAATATATCAACAATGATTGGTTTATGCTGAGCCAATGATTACAAGTAACCGAACCTCTTTTTTATATAAAGAAACAATTCAACACCATTTAACCGTTTAATAAAGATAAATCTAATGAACATGTTAGATCTCATCTATCGCTATGACCAGTGGGGCATGAGGCAGAATCATGCAGGCCATAGAAATAACAATAGACTTGATGACCCTAACTCATTACTAATATCATTGGGGCATGAGGCCAAATCATGCAGGCCGTAATACAATAATAAGATCATGGGGCAAACACATCTTTCAACCTATCTTTACTTCAACGATCTCGTGATGCGAACTGTTCGTGAAAGCTTTCGATATCGGCTAAAACAGCTGATTCAGGCATAGCGCACAGTTAAGGTCATGCCTTACCAGGAATAGATCTACTAAATAACGATCCCCATTTCACGGTGCTAACAGTGGGGTGTGAGGCAGAATCACACAGACCGTGATAACAGACCATGGAATGGTTTTCGCTAGCTAATAGATCTACTCAAGACGCAACATGCCTTAACCGCACGCCATGGACGATTAAGATTGATATAAAACAGCCGATAAAAACATAACTCATCATTTAGGGTGTACATTAGATCAGTTCTAGATTAGCAAACGATATGTTAAATAAAATATAAGGCTGATCCAAATCAATCTCAATCGGACAGAGTGATATTGTTGTAATTAAATAAACAATGAAAGCAATAAGTAATATCGGTAACTTAATGAATCTACCAAAGACTGTCATTCTAAGGTAGAGCTGATAACTTGACCTTGATCTAGTTCATGCAGTGGGGGTCGACCGGATCGATGCATCCATACTTGAATTAGACAAGAATCTATAACTAACTTATACCAGAGTCGCAGTAGAGGTCGATCGGATCGATGCAGCCGTACGAATAGAGGTATAAGCCATGATGGTACTTACAACAAGCAATGGAGGTCGACCGGATCGATGCAGCCGTACTTGCTGAAGAACTCACCGAGATTTACTCTACTCCTACTCCTATGGGGTGGCCGGAGCCAAAAAACGTAATTGACTTGTATTTGATTGATTCGTTGTTCTTTACAATAGCCGGGGTTTGATATTTATACCGGAGTCTAAACATGAATCCTACTCAAGCACGATTTGTTACAATCTTTGGCATAAATGAAAACATTCCTAATTTAAGATAACTTGGACTCTAATCTTTCCCTTTTTATAGAGTCCAGCACGTCTCGTCCCAGCGCCGATCGTAGCCTCTGTCGTTATCTGTTGGCGCTATCTGAAGAGAGCCGATTCTAGTGCTGCATCCGAATCAGCTGGTTTCGATCTGCACGCAATTGACCCCTTGCTGACATGATTTTGGGAGCTCTCGAGCCCCTGAGACCCTTCTTCCAAATTTTGGAGTAAACAAATGCCCCCTAATTTTGGGATAAAAGTAATTTTATTCTAAAATTATCATGTCTGCATCCCTGATTGGTCCACAGTCATTGGTAGAACCTTGATCTGGGGTTCACTGTTTGTCGCCGCTTGCGTCCATTCATGAGGCTATGCCTCAAAACTTTTTACAAGAGTGTCACTGCTTCACAGGCACTTGGATTCATCTTCTCAGGCCGGCTATAAAACACCTATCCGACCTTGACGAGAGCAACTCAACACTTCAGCCATGTTTTTCTTCCATCTGCTCCCTCGAGCGCCTCTAGTTCCGCCGGACCCTCCATGGTCCATTCTCTTGCTATGAAGATCTTGAGCGGTTAGAAGAATTCTTGTGCATAGGGTGATTGTGTCGCTCATTCTAGCGCCTTGTCGAGCAAGAGGATCAGCTACTGTGGCTAGAAGAAGTCTTGTGATATCACCT